ACAGTCATCAGACCACTAATGTTTTGATATACATGTACCTAGATTGTGAGAATAGAGTGTGTATACATATCACTCTAGTAGTTCCGCCAATATCATTCCTCAGACCACTACTGTGTTGGTATACCTAGATTCTGAGTATATAAATCGTATACACGTCAGTCTAGTAGTCCCGCCTTGACCAGTCCTCAGACCATTAGTTTGTTGATATATATGTTCCTAGATTGTGAGTATATAAATAATAACCATGTCAGTCCAGTAGTCCAGCCCTGACCAGTCATCAGACCACCAGTTTGTTGGTGTACCTAGATTGTGAGTATGGCGTGTGTATACATGTCAGTCAAGTAATTCCAACCTGACCAGTCCCCAGATCACTAGTGTGTTTGTAAACCTAGATTGTGAGATAAGAATGTGAATCCATATCAGTCTAGTAGTCCCGCCTTGACCAGTCCTCAGACCATTAGTTTGTTGATATATATGTTCCTAGATTGTGAGTATATAAATAATAACCACGTCAGTCTAGTAGTCCAGCCCGGCCCAGTCCTCAGACCCCTAGTGTATTCGTAAACCTAGATTGTGAGTATAAAATGTGAATACATATCAGTCTAGTAGTCCCGCCTTGACCAGTCCTCAGACCATTAGTTTGTTGATATATATGTTCCTAGATTGTGAGTATATAAATAATAACCATGTCAGTCCAGTAGTCCAGCCCTGACCAGTCATCAGGCCACCAGGTTGTTGGTGTACCTAGATTGTGAGTATGGCGTGTGTATACAGGTCAGTCAAGTAATTCCAACCTGACCAGTCCCCAGATCACTAGTGTATTGTGAGAATATAGTGTGGATACACGTCAGTCTAGTAGTTCCGCCCTTACCAGTCCTCAGACCACTAGTGTTTTGGTATACCTATATTGTGAGTATTGAGTGGGGTATACATGTCGGTCTAATAGTCTCGTCCTGACCAGTCTTCATGTACTGCTTACTAGTGGCAAGGATAGTCTTCAAATTCCTGTCCGCGTTCCATCATATTTATGTTTACATGACTGAAGTCTATCTGCAGCATATTTTAAGAACATTACGGACATATCGACCTTAAAATACCACATTACACAAACAAACATGTCTATATAACGCCGTGTTGAAATCTAGTCTCATCACAACATGTCTGACTGCACACAAAACTGTTGACATTGTACTGATGCATGCAATGACATAAATACCTGGTTCGCAAAAGACGTAAATTTTACCCGCATATCAGGCAGCTTTGTAGGTTATACAATGGTGTCATATATATAATCGCAACAAAATGAAGCAAACTGTTGTCATGTCTTTTATTCTAGTTAACAGTTAAGTTTCACTCCGTCTGTCTAACACTATGTTGACAAAAAAGTGTCAAATTGTGTATCTTAACAGTTAATACACATCGTTCTATGTGTCGCTATGTCTAGCACACCTGTCATACGTTTGGTGTTTTGTTGTTTGTCCTTCTTTATGATATACAGTCGAATAGGTTGTTTTGTCTTTGATATAACATACTTTTGATTAATCAAAATATTATCATGTTTTTTGAGGAAAGAGCATCATAGTAAATGGGCAAAGGTCATTTGTTTGAACAAATTTCGTAGCCCTTCATGCCAACATCCTTCTGGCCAAATAGCATCACCCTAGACCTTTTGGTTATAAAGAAGAAGTCATTTAGAGGTTTTTAAGAGAACTGACCCCTTTGACCTTGAATGTGAGTGAAGGTCATTCATTTCAACAAACTTGGTAGCCCTCCATCCCCACATGCTGCTGGCGAAATATCATCACCCTGGAGCTTTTGGTTATTTAGAAGAAGTTGTTTAAATATTTCAACATATTTGACCCCTGTGACATTAAATATGGGCAACGGTAATTCATCTGAACCAATTTGGTAGTGCTTCATCCCAGCATGTTAATAGCAAAATATCATCATCCTGGGCCTTCTGGTTAATCAGAAAAAGTTGTTGAAAATTTTTAACATACAGTTGTGTGACCGCACAACGCCCGAAAAATAGCGTGCGCACACCGTGCATACATCGTTCACACACCGTCCACACATCGTCCACACATGGTGCGCACACCTGTGCCATTTAACAATCGTTCGCCCCGTTGTGCGCTTCTCTCCGCACAACTGTGCGATTTGATATCATTTGTTGATCAAAATTACGGAATGACAAATATACGGAAGGCTCGTATGTGATAATGTACACTGTGTATATATCTGTAATTTCTCATCACAATAATCAAGATTATACAATTTCACAATGCATGTGACACAATATTACAGCGACCGGTAGGCTGTCAAGAATGGGTTTGGCTCAAAGGTAACAGAACAGGTAAATAACAATTTGATGAGTGTCCGGAGTTTTACCTGACCAGTGCCTGACACACAGAGCTGATATGCGATACCGTATGACCGTAATGAATAGTATTTGTTATTTGCATTCGTTTGGCTATAGCTCCCCTTCACCTGGATTTTCTCACACCCGGCCTTACCCGACGAGTTACGTAAGTGCCCCAGGCGGGGGGAAAACTACGGCCCAGGTAAATATTTCTAAATATAAGAATTTATAAACAGAAAGATAAGTTTATAGATGTAGCTAGCATATAGAAACAAACGTACAGATCAAGTTTATATGTTTGAACACGAAACCGTATACATTGTTAAGGCATTCCTAAATTTACACCAACCACGATTGTTATCACACAACGTCCGTCCATCGTGCGTACAGATGTGCGCATGCAATGATCGTCCAGCTTTTTATCGTTCGCCCATCGTGCACAAACCTTTCATACACCGTGCACACATCGTGCGCACACCGCACATCGTGTAACGTTGGCTAAGGGAAAATGTCATTTATTTGAACAAACTTGGTAGCCCTTCATCCCAGCATGCTACTGGCCAAATATCATTACCCTAAACATTTTGGTAATTCAGAGGAAGTCGTTCAAAGGTTTTTACGACAATTGACCCCTGTGACCTTGAATATGGGCAAACGTCATTCATTTGAACAAACTTCATAGTCCTTCATCCCAACATCATCTGACCAAATATCATCACCCTGGACCTTTCGGTTTACCAGAAGAAGTTGTTTAAATATTTTAAGATATTTGACCCCTGTAACCTTGAATATAGGTGTAGGTCATCAATTTGAACAAACTTTGTAGCCCTTTTTCCAAGTATGCTACTGGCCAAATATCAACACCCTAGACCTCTCGGCTATTTAGAAGAAATTATTAAAAAGTTTAAACATATTTGAATCCTTGTGACCTTGAATATCAGTGAAGGTCATTCATTTGAACAAATTTAGTAGTGCTTTACCCTAGCATGTTATTGGTAAAATATCATCATCCTGGGCCTTCCGGTTTTCCGGAAGAAGACGTTTAAAGCTTTTAAAATATTTGACCCGTGCGACCTTGAAAATGAGCAAAGGTCATTCATTTGAACAAATTTGGTAGCACTTCCTCCCAGCATACTAATGGCCAGATAGTATCAGCATGGACCTCTTGGTTATTCAGAAGAAGATGTTTGAAGAAAAAAGTTGACGCCGGACGGATTACGACTTGCCATACAAATGTAAGCGCAATTGGCCCTACGGGACAGGTGAGCTAACAAACTTGGTAGCCCTTCATCAAAGCATGCTACTGTCCAAATATCAAGGTTTTTAACATATTTTGACCCCGTTGACCTTGAATATAAGTCAAGGTCATTCATTTGAACAAATTTGGTAGCCCTTCATTCCAGCATGCTACTGGCCAACTATCATTATCATAGGCCTTTTGGTTATTCAGAAGAAGTTGTTTAATTTTTTTTCCACAATTTTGACCCCTGTCACCTTGAATATAAGTGAAGTTCATTTATTTGAACACACTTGGTAGTCCTTAATTCAGTTTGCTTCTGGCCAAATATCCTTGTTATTGAGAAGAAGTTGTTTAAAGTAAAATATTAACGCCAGACGACGGACGGACGACAGACGGACGACAGACGCCACGCCATGGCAAAAACTTCGAGCAGGTGAGCTAATAATGACACCTCGATTTCATGGAATCATGGAATATGGAAGATGGAAAATTATGTATCGATTTGTTTGTCAAAAGTACGACTTCATAGGGAACTCAAAAATATATACAGAAATTAAATAGACTTTGCCCAAGCATGCTACTGTCCAAATATCATCACCCTAGGCCTCTTGGTTATACAGAAGAAGTTGTTTAAAGGGTTTTAACGTATTTGACCCGGATGACCTTGACTTTAAGTTAAGGTCATTCATTTGAACAAACTTGGTAGCTCTTCATCCCAGCATGCTACTGTCGTAAGTTGTTATTTTTTGCACATATTTGACCCATGTGACCTTCAATATAAGTTAATGTTATTCATTTGAACAAACTTGGTAGCCCTTCATCCCAGTTTGCTTCTGGCCAAATACCATCACCCTAGACCTTTTGGTTATTGATAAGAAGTTGTTTAAATTATTAACGCCGGACGCCGGACGGACGACGGACGGACGACGGACGCCGCGCCATGGCAAAAGGCCACTTGCACTTTGGGCAGGTAAGCGTAATACGACACTTTGATTATAATGGTATGTATACTGACGGAAGGACGACTGACTCCAAGCAACGACATATGTGGAAGCAAATCCTACGATAATACAAATTAGTATACATTAGTGAATTCTCTTGTGGAACTGTACTTAATATTATTGTAATTTACTCTGTTGCTTAGCACTACTTACTAGTAATTTTGTCGTCGAACAATGTATTCATATTTTTTATTAATATGCTAATCGGATGTACTGCATTCAAACATTTTTCTCGTAAGTCGTGGAAGTTATTTTGAATTAAATGACGTCATTAAGTAATGGAGGACACCTTCAGGTGTAAATATTATCTTGCACCTAACGAGAAAGATCAGCTGTTAAGGAAAACTAAAATTCTAAATAATATTACAAGTGACACTGGGATAAACAATAAATTAATTTATTTTGTTCTAAATTTTACATAAAATTGTCATATTTCTGTTCTTTTTTTAATGTTGAGGAAACAGACATCCTTTTGCTGTTTATACCAACAATTAATACATTTAGTATTTGAAAAAGTCCGTTTCCCATGCCAAGATCTCTGGCATTGTTACATATTTGGTGATTCGGAAGGGTTTACTGCCTAGATCACATGACTGTTATCATCACCTTAATACAAGAAAAAACACAATTATATTAGATTACCATGCATCTCAAATACACAATTTCTTTTTATCGATGCAATGAAAAATGCAAAAAAAAGATAAAAAGCGTTTTGAAATATATGCAAAACTCCATAAAAAATGGACTTGATAATGTATATTATCCCGGGTTGTTTGTTTTTTGTTTCAATAACAATGGGCATGAGTAATAAATAATAATATACGTATTGCTTTTCATTTACTAAATTTCCAAACATTTCATTTCACTGTTTTCAATGAAGCATTGACAGATATATATTATTAATAATGTTCTACCCAATGGTGAGATGTATTCAATATGACATCTTTTAAATTTCACAATCCCAACTTAACATTTGGATAAATATATGCAAAATATAACCTTGCAAAGTCAAGTTTATAACAACTAAGAGATAACCAATTACTTTTCTCATAAACATGCTTGGTAGTGACTACGTTAATTTCTTGTGGATTTAGTTAATATGATAACGTTGGTCTTCCTGTCAGTATCTAGGTTGTACAATATAACAACATTTGTATAGAACGTCAAACATGTGTGAAACATGTCTGTGACAAGGTGATCATTACATTTCTGACACAATTATCATATTCTTACATTTATATTGAATACATGACAATAGTTTGTGTATTCACATCACTTACACTCTTTTTCTTTATCTTTATATCCACATACTAGGGTTTCCGTGAGTAGCCCGTCAACAGATGCATGTTGGAGAAACACCTGCAAAACGACGTAACCTACCGTAGCATACAAACCAACTAAATCTGATTGTTAAAGGAACCAAATCCTTCTCTCTAAACAAGAAAGATTGATGTTCTTACAGATATAATGAATGTTAACTTTCAAGAACTCTTATTATTGATATATGGAGTAATAAAATATCCAGGCATTATAGCACTTGGTATTTTACTACACGTTAGAAGTAATACTAATGGTATTTTTACCTATATTTCTACTAGATATATGTCAAAACCAAAGTGATCGAAACCAAATTATTGTGATTATTGGTAATAAATATGACAATCGTTCTATAACTCCTATATCGATTTCTATATCAAGTACGAGTAATTGTATTCTGAAACGTATAAATATATCTTAATTCTCTGGAAACATGCCAATATTTACTCATATAGTGTGTTACGATTTAAACATTTATAAATTTACCTTTATGAAATTGTTTCGGTTAAAAATGTAGACAGAACCGTATTCTACCAAAATCTCCTTTTTAAAGAAGGAGTCGTAGTTAAATGAAAAACTCGTATTACCTTTTTAACAAGGAGTAGCTGATCCATCCATTGTCAGGTTGACCAGTATCATTAAGGTCTGCACGTCACGTTACCATAAACGGTCTATCTGGAAGAATCAGTAGAAATCTTAAATTTAGATATCTTTTCACTAATTAATCTAACCACATTACCAATTTGTATTTCAAAATACTCGTTTCCATATTGAACCGTACTAAATCGTCTCTGTTTATTATTTATTTATTTAACCTTTTCCCATAGCTAGATAAGCTGTTTTCTGTGTTTAGTTGGCGACTCTCATAACAATGTTTTTCGTACAAATATTAATAAAGAATACGTAATTAACGCTACTACTACCATGCTCGTAAACCGAACCAATACAAGACAATAATTCCTGTCCACCTATCATTATTCAAGTTGTCTTATCTAGTACAACAATATTTCATATTTCTAATATTAAAACTATATACGTGTATAGATAAAAAATCGATGCATTATTCCAGTACGTCTTTATATCCTTACCAGAAAACAGCCGTTGAAATAGCATTGACATCGTTTGTGAAATGTTGGTTATGTTGGTGTTGAAGTCGCTCACTGGTATTTATCCAAACCGTCCTCCTAATCTTCGAAAACAATACAACCCCCCCCCCCCCCCCCCCCCCCCNACCCAATAAAACCACTCATTTGTTCACTCTAACACAAACTTTCAGCAACATCACAAATACATGTTTAGACGACACAATACTTTACGGTAAAGACAAATCAACACAGACAACACGAAACATGACAAAAACGTCACAAAAAACACAAAGTAGTATAGTTATCAAAATTGTGTTACATTATAAGCAAAATTGTCACATAGATTATGTATTTTATCATAAAGGACGTGTATGAATCGTCTGACCATATTACATAGCATCGTGTTACAATATATCATACGTCAAACCTGAAATAAAATAGCATGTATATTATTAATGATTTCATGTCATGATTGAAATAGAAATACCGGAATAACCTTTCACATGAAATTCACACTACTTGTATTATTAATGCGTGGTAAGTAATCAATGCATACTATATTGTTATATAAAACTAAACTCACTAAGAAATGAACATCATCTACAAATATGAAACTGGCTGGTCTAGTGTATCTCGTGGAATAACCAACGTATTTTACTAAATTGTGACCACAATGTAACAACAAGTATTTTCGCAAGATTATATATAATCTGACACCTAAAATTAACCACCATCAAAAATCGCTATGTCACTAAACTAGTAATATAATATACGAAAGTGTAAGTTGATCAGAAATTAAAATGAATTCAGGTCTATTTATTGGTTAACAAACACAATCTGTTATGGTGTTTCTATCATTTGACAACAATATAGAAACAGGGACTTTTAATCAGCTTAGCCGTATTTACTAACTAAAGGACTACCAACTGTATGAGACTAATTATTCATAAAAAATATATAACAAACGAAACAATGTTTATTATTGAAACAACAGCTCACAATACATACATTTGACTCAATTACTTTAACAAAGCACCTGGCAGATAGTAGACGGTTTGCTGGCAGTGCAGTATATATTTACACAAGCAAAACAAACACTTAAAACGAAGCTACAGACACTAGTACAATGCATTTTTATCATTTGTTTCGGGTCAGTATATCATAAATATATCTTTGACAACCGGTCGGTATAAGTCATGGTATGTTGTTTTGATTAAATATAGATCCACAGATCTCCGGCGTTCATTAATACTGAGGAAGGTTTGCAATAATTTTCATTTCTGTACGTGAACAATTAAACAATTCTGAGTATTTTAGAAAGTTACTCAAAGAAATGATATTTAGCCATGGCAATAATTTTAAAAGTGAAATAATTAATAAAATCATACTTGATTGGTATGAATTGTGGTATATACTTACATGCCACGACGAGGATATATGTGGGTGAGGTCAGGTTCACCATCTTTAAGTCTGTGAATATATTCCGTACGCGGCAGGAATAGCCAACGCCATTATCTGCTGGAAGGAGAGGTCCAATTACAATATCAGTCCCATTTAGTCCTGTAGGTAGACCATCTCGGAACCACTCAACGCTTGCTGGATAGGGATTACCTTCGGAGTAATTGCACGATAATTCCATGTACTCGCCTAATCCTGGTAAATTGCTGGTGTTGAGCTGAATGATGATTGGTGGAGTAGGAGGGTCTGGTAGGGATAGAAATGCATGGTTAAGATATAATTAAACAATGTTGATAATTATAATTTCTTTGCATATACCATCAACAAACGGTACCGTACTGTAATCTCGTGGTGTCGCGTTATCCCACAAGAGGCAGCCTTAACCCCTTCGGCAAGCGTGACCATCATTAAAATTATTTCTGCTTAGGGGTACTGGTACATGAAACCTACGTTTGACGTGTATCTATGGGAGGAAAGATACATAAATGTCACCAAATTTCGTCGACAGGGGCTAATTTTCCGGCCCATTATTTGAATTCATCTTGGAAGAGTGCCAACTGATATCAAATTAATATGACGCTGTCTGAAACGAATGATATTGAAATATTTAGTGTGATTTATCGGTTGCGTCGGACCGAACTTCAGTTACGGTGTTGATAAAACACTGAAAAGTTACATGTACGTAGTGAATGTACTGTCGGGTACAGTACGAGTTAAATGTACGTAGTGAATGTACTGTCAGGTACAGTAATAGTTAAACGTACGAAGTGTAGTACTGTCTGGTACAGTACTAGTAAAAGTGTCACCTTGACAATCTTTTATAACTGTTTTTCTGTCAAATTTTAAGTCATTTTGTTAGTTTGACTTAAACAGGATGGGCACAACGGCGCATATATGGATTATATTAAAAAGAATGACGCCCTTTTTTGCTCCATGTGTTTAAAAGAACTTCATGTGGTTTTTTTTTCACTTTATTCCTCATCTCTGTAATAAAACTGTTACTCAAATGGGTAACTGTTACCCAAATGCAGGTGTATTACCCATATGCGCCGTTGTGGCAAACCTGCTAAATTTTACAGCTATATTGTTAGTACTCAAAATGGCCCCTACGGGAGACCTTTTGGCTTTTGGAAAATAGTCACAATACACAACTATATTTGTAATTACGCCCTAGCGGCCCCCTCTTTGACTTTTTGTTGAATTTGCTGTCGATTTAGATTGCTTGTAGGGTATTTCATCCAATGAATGATTGGCAAACCTCGGACGCTTGTGTGTGTCGGACGCCATCTTTGTTGTCATGAAGAGATTCTGTTTTGAGTTGTCTCCCCTTCGCACGTGCTCTTATAGACCCCAGCAGAGCGGAGTCTATAGAAATATAGACCCCGGCAAGATATCAAATCAAAAAGAGTTTTACAAATTAGAAGGGTTACAAAGAAACTTGCATGCATATCCGTGGAATAAGAAGTTTGTCAGCATTCTGTTGTTGTCGATTTAAACAGGTAATGGATCTCATCAGACTGTTATCTACCTTTACCGCAAAGTAAATATAGATGTAGTAAGGCGTCATATTTGACACAAAAATCAATCTGTCAAAGTATACGTTATAAACAATTAAAAAAAAATTAGTATACGTTAATGTAATGTAAACTTGGAAGCTCATTGGTGCCATAGAGCATATTCACACCTCTTTACAAAGTTGAAATGAAGCAGTACTCTTCTGATTTTTGAAAGTTATAAGTTCGGCGCCCCATCGAAGCTCTTTAATGGTAACACATACGAGCGTAAACAGAGTTGCTTCCCCTTGTTACACCTTGCCTGTATTTATTTTTTTCCGTCCGGAAGTAGACGTCCGGTTGGGAAACAGGAAGTGTATCCTTGAAGCAAAGACAATTGTGTTTCAACCCATGCATGAATATCCTCATATAGTGAAAGCAATCTTCATGTGTTATTGCTTGTTTATTTAGATAAGAAATAATATACATTCTGAATGAAAAAAGTCTATCACATAAAATGTGATACTAACAGGCATAAAACTTCGTTCAGAGATTATCATTCTATGACGTCACAAGCACGTCACAATCCATCGGCCTTCATCGGTTATTTCCGGAAGGATGGAAAAAGACCGGAAAATTCTGGAACTGATGTCCGTTGCATTTGTCTCTTTGTCGGTGCTTCAAGACTTTTTTTTTATTTCAGCCTTTTCTACAGTCACAACAAGTAAACATACGGATATTTTCCGAGGATATTTCTTGTCATCAAACCGTTTCTGTTGATATTTCTACCCGGAGATATCTTCAAAAAAGAGATCATTTAAAATTTCAACAGCTTTTGATTTCCATTTGTTGAGAATATGAACGAAATAATTGACATTTTTGAAAGTCTGGATATAGTCTTTACATTATTTATGCATTACCACTCATAAAAGAAGCAATGGAAAATGTATTTATGACGAAATTAACAATAATTCTCCAGACAACCAACTCAAGTGCAACGCCCTTTTTCGCAACGTATTACTTTTTTACAACGTGTCCGATATCTAATTAGTTAAAGACAGAAACTGTAATTTTATTTGGCATCATTACCTGTCAAACCTCGGTGACAGTTACAAAATTTGAAATTCAATCCGGTGTTTCAGGATGGAACAGTAATTGAGACTACATATTCATACCAGGACAATTTCAGTTACATCAAAGTATTACAATGATTTCTTTTTTTAATTTCATTTTTCAGCTAACATCTCCATACATTTACTAAGACTAATCGTAAAATATGTAATTTGCACTTTTTTCTATAGCAGTTACAAAACAGTTTCCCCCAGCTCACAGAGGGTTTAATTCTTAATATGGAAGGAAACCGGAGAAAACCCGCGTGGCCAAGCAGGTGACCAGGATTGAATCCGGCCATCTTGGTGAAGACGAGCGCGCTATCCACTGCGCCACCCGAACCATCGTATACGTTCCACACAAGAACAAATATCTACTTCAGCTTTGACTGGAATAAAATAGCGTCATTGATGCAAAAATCATATTGTGAATACATTTTTACCAATCATCAATAATATAAAAAAAATCTACATTTAGTTGGCTGGGCATTCAACGACAAAAAAACGACTGAACGGCAGAAAATTATTTTTAAGAGGGTAGAAAGAAAACCATGATCTCGCTTCTATAGTTATGCGAACTTTTTGAAACGGAATTGCTACTTTTTTACAGTCAAACGTGTAACACACTGACAGCTTCAAATGATAATACATAAAAGCCAAGCCAATCAGTCACTACCATATTGCTGTACGATAAGAATTTATTAAAATATCAATTTGCGCCCGAACAGGTTCGACCAATAATACCCGTGGCAAGGTTGGCCCATGTAGTTTTAGACACATAAAAAGTCGTAAAATTGGCGGTACAATCTGACGTTGCATGCTTAATGACGTCATAATTAAGCTGATTTCAATGGGGGCCGAACTTACCCGAATGCCTGTCCGAACTTACCCCATGGCGGGGCTCGTTCGGCCATCCGATCTTCCGACAGGAAAAGTTAAATAATGTTCAAAAACGGACGTGCTGCCATACTTCCTAGAACGGACTTTAATAATAACAAAAAAAGGGCCGAACTTGCCCCGGTCTCCCCTATTGTTATGTCGGTCTTAATATCATTAAAGCTCGTGTTTTATTGTTATTCCTCGACTAGCCGACTTTAAATAAAGTTTATCTTATCTCATTCTGAAAGTTGTATTCTGAATCAGTAAATATCAGAGACCAACAAAAGCTACGCTCTTTTAAGGCTTTGCCTTTTCATATTATAATTAAGCGGTATTGTGCATCTTTCTTCTGTTTCAATAGTAGGTTAGACTAAACTGAATTTCAAGCGATTGGCCTTCAGTATTGCCGAAGTGTTCTAGAAGGACGAAACAGTTGTATGGTCAGTGGAGTTAATTGTTGGCATACTGTATATATTACCGACTTGTTTGAGCACACTTCTCATGATGCAGGGTATCAGATTCTGCTGGTGGACCCATTTCTGTCGAGTAGTCGCTTTGTTCACTATATAATCATAGTAGTCTTTTTTAATATGAAAGTTATTTTTGAAACTCCTTTAACATAAAACGTTTCACTTAATTCCTCCTCTGTATAAACAGTAGTTTAGACCAATGTTCACCTGTTTAGTCTCTGCCATCGCCGACGAGTCCTAGAACGAATCAGCTAAATTGTATACCCAATTTTGTAAGCAATCACATTTGTGTGACTTACGTTCATCTAAACAGTAGTACCGTGCGTAGTTTTTTTTCTGTATATTAGTTATGTTCGCGAAAGGTGAAATATATGTACTACTTGTTGTAATTGCCCTGTGTGTAATATGTAATGTTTATGCAGTTGGTATCGATGAGTATAAATATGTATACTTTGCAATCTTGAACAGAAAAGGGTTTGTATTTAACCTTTATATGTTCAGTCAATTGAAAGCGTCAAATCTCCTTTAAAACATTAGGATGTGCTAGTATAGTTGGAAACAACAAGTGGACCATCTATGATTAAATTTAACTGCAAATATATGTACAAATGGCGATGATGTACATTTTATATACATGCATACTTATGTCCACAGAAAACACTTAAACTGATCAAATATGATGATATTTTTATATTTTTGTTTTAAGAAACTACTCATTAGAATATAGGTAAAATTTACCAAATGTTGGCAATCTGGTCGTTTAATTAAAATATAAAGGATTATGAAATTTAAAAAAACTTTTGAATAATGGAGCCTGCTTTCAAAACGAAGCCTGATAAAATATTTTCCTGTGATATGCGTTGATCCTTCGATGATGATTTGAAACCATCAATTATGACATCTCAGAGACAAACAGCTGACACAGTCTATTTTTCATAAGGATTTGGGTAGTTTTTCCCCAAAAACTACTACACTCAAATTTCCACTGTCGAGGTAACTTCCCCTTCAGACAGGAGTCCGTACAGAAGGAGAGGTTGAAGATGGATTTGCCGTATTGCTGTTGTTTCTCGATCAAGTAGCTCCCCGACCGAACCAAGAAATGATATGATCAACCTCATGTCGGACTCATTTTTTTTTTGGTGTGTTTGAATATTCCGCACATTTTCTACAAATTGTTCAGTGTTATCGCCATATCTTAACCTCACATTGTTCTCCTTGTCAGCATCTCTTCTCAAATAAAAATCATCAAATTCTATGTTTCCGAGCAGACATTTTATCAAGCTGTATCTCGTTACTAAGTGACGTGCTTGACACTACACGATTCATTAAAACGTTTGGCGATCGTCTGTACACTGACACAAAAATTAACAAAAGTTCGTGATGATTTATAACTGATTAAAAACACGCAGAAATGTGCATTTTTTTCTTTGAACCAATACCTGAAAAACGGTGATCTATGTCATTTGTGACCCAGTCCGTCTTAAGTACAAGAGTGTCATATGTAAATAAGGCCACATCACATCCATTCGTTTTTTGTCATTTTTGAAAAGCGTATGAGATATTCATATATCCGTTAACACTGTTTAGCTATGAACTTCCAATTTCAAAATTTTTAGTTTCTCGTGCATTACGAGAAACTTATCACACGTGTGACTGGAAGTGGTATTAGACGGATTTGGAAATTATCACACCTGCAAAAATACTGATATTTCGAGTAGATATATGATAATTTGCTCAAGCATTTGCCTTGGCATAGAAATAAGAGTAATTAATATAAAACATTAACATTTCATTGCCAAAATATTTTTGCTGTGTTAACTAATGTTTACTTGATGTTCTGAACTCATCTCAATAACAAATGTTGATGTCAAAAGTATCGTGAGCATTCAATATGGTGTCAAAAGTTTGTATTACGACCTTCTGATAATATATTGAATATTATAATGCACTATATACCGGGAAAGGTACTAATATCGGTATTTACACACGCATTACTTGACGTAAAGTTTACCCTAACGATTCCTCCCTCATCTTGTTTGCTTGATTTTTAAAAACTATTTATTAATCCAAGCTTATTGATATTATACTACCGGAGGGAAATTAACAAAGAGCATTAATCCAAACTGTTCCGGAATACCTTTTCGGAAGCACAAAAAAACACTTTTATCCTACCATTTATATTATAAAAGAGTTCAAGTATCCATGTGAAGTAGGTAAGCATAGAAACAAATCAGATTTAACAGCCGACCACAAAGTAGCTACTTTCACCCTGCACATGGTTCGTCAGGTTTATTTCAAAAGGACAACATCGTGAGGTCATAATTGCATATCATCACTCTACAATTTTAACGTGACGTCACAATATACACAAGATTATTGGACAAGCTAGCACAAACTTTTACTGCGGCTTAAATAAATTGTTTCATTTTAATTTTTTCATAAAATAGTGTCAGATGAATATTCTCGATATTTAAATTAGTATATGATATTCATTTGCGGCACATGCTAGTTTGACATCGCAACATTTAAAACAAATCATTGCAAACGTTACGTTTATCTGATGACGTTGGGCTAAAATGAACAAAAGACCATAACTTGGTGTATTACAAAGGGTCTGGGGATCCGATCTAGGTTTTTCATCCAAACCACATATACTAGTTGGAAATTATATGAGACAAAGTGAATTAGATCAGTAATACAATCATGGCGATGAAGGGCAAATCGTGGAGCATGAGACTCGATGACAGCGTGCAACACTTGCACTTCATCATCATGCATGCATTTTTTAAATCAAAAGCCCTCCCCAGTAGGACTTGAAGAACTTAACAGTCAGCACTGAATTGACAATGGACAATCAACAGATTGTATCAGGTGATACACAATTTATTAATCAAATTGAAAAATTAATTAACAGGTTGGAGGACAGATGCTTTTTTGAACCATTGAATAGTACAAGTTCACGTGCACTTTGTGAGAGATGAGCTAAATCACAATAAAGGTATACTTACATAACACACTGACGGCGATGATATCACTGATTGAAGATGTTGGATTGGAAACCTGACATCTGACCCGTGCCCTGTCCCAGGACCTGGTCACACTGGAGATGGTCCAGGAGAAGGATTTACCGTCTGTGGTACAGGTACCCTGCTGGGTACGGGTATTGGCTGTACTAGCTAAACACTGTCCTCCTGACAGCTGTATTGATCCAATGAGTGTCGCATCCTCATAATTAAACGTGGCAAACACAGAGCTGTTCTCTGTCACCAAACACGTCAGGTTGAGTGATCCTCCCTCTGTGACACGGGAGGGGGTCGCTGTCAACTATACACCGATACCTAAAACACATGTATCAATTATATAACACTTCAGGGTGAGTGATCCTCCCTCTGTGACAGGGGAAAGAGTCGCTGTCAACTCTACACCGATACCTATAACAAATGTATCAATTATATAACACTTCCGGGTGAGTGATCCTCACTCTGTGCTAGGAGAGGGAGTCACTGTTACCTCCACACCGATACCTATAACAAATGTATCAATTATAAAACACGTCAGGGTGAGTGATCCTCTCTCTGTGACAGGAGAGTGAGTCGCTGTGTCAACTCTACACTGATACCTATAACACATGTATCAATTATATAACACATCAGGTTGAGTGATCCTCCCTCTCTGACAGGAGGGAGTTACTGTCAACTATTCACCGATACCTTTAACACAAGTAACAAAGATATAACACTTCCGGGCGAGTGATCCTTCCTCTATTACAGGAGAGGGAGTCGCTGTTAACTCTACCCCGATACCTATAACACATGTATCAATTATATAACACGTCATGGTGAGTGAGCATCCCGCTGTGACAGGGTATGGAGTCGCTATGTCAACTCCACACCGACGCCTATAACACATGTATCAATTATATAACACGTCAGGGTGAGTGATCATCCCTCTGTGACACGGGAGGGGGTCGCTGTCAACTCTACACCGATACCTATAACACATGTATCAATTATATAACACTTCAGGGTGAGTGATCATCCCTATGTGGCAGGGGAGGGAGTCACTGTCAATTCTACACCGATACCTATAACAAATGTATCAATTATATAACACTTTCGGGTGAGTAATCATCCCTTTGTGACAGGAGAGGGAGTCACTGTCAACTCTACCCCGATACCTATAACACATGTATCAATGATATAACACATCAGGGTTAGTGATCCTCCCTCTGTGACAGGAGAGAGAGAGTCGCTGTCAACTCCTCACCGATACATATAACACAAGTAGCAATGCTTTAACACGTCATGATGAGTGAGCCTTCCTCTGTGACAGGCGAGGAGTCAATGTCAAATCCACACCGATAACTATAATACAAGTAACAATGCTATAACACGTCAGAGTGAGTGAGCATCCCTCTGTGACAGGGGATGGAGTCACTGTGTCAACTCTACAAATAAGACCTGCTTCCTTCAAAGAGTGGTTAGCTGACATGCTATAAAAATGTAGGAGAAAATATCCGGATAAAAAAATCAAATACTGACATGAACAAAGGGCAATAATTTTTGCAAAAATTGTCGAATCAAAATTCTTTTCAAGGAAACACAACAACATATCATGATTGTTTAGCCTACTGTAACGTTCCGGGGTCCGTACCCTGGTCACTTCTGCTGTAGGCCTAATTATAACTATACTACAGTTGCAAATATATACAAATATGTGTTACTACCTTGTAACCAGCATACCTAATGCTTAATACATGATATGAACAGAATAATTACTGTACGACTATAAAACTATAACCAAAGCTATCTGCTCTGTTTCAATATTACAAAACCCTACACACACTACCGTACAAACCAGGCAGTACACAACTCGACGACCACGTCGCAGCTAGCCCTAGACCTAGTCACTATTGTTGCCCTATAGTCGCTACCTATATGACCTAGTCGCGCCGAGCAAGACAGCCTTATACGTACTTATGTACAGCTACGGCACTCTAATAACCATGACTACCCCTAGTCACGACTAGCTCTATCAACTTATACCAAGTCACGACTACCCTAGTCACGACTAGCACTGTATAGCCTATGCCCGTGACACCTTCTGTCTAACAGTATCTCGCTACAGCACTCAATCGTTTATTTAATACATCTTCCAGGCAGTGTGTGGATCAAGGCAAGACTTACTCAGTCACTTCTATCTTTGCAACACAAAGCCGGTCTCACATATATTACTTACGATTTACACTGCTGTCTACATGCCGAGATCAGAACAGAACTGGGCCGATTGTTGCTGGATTCTGCCTATTTATACCCTCTTGCTATCTTAGCGACACCTAGCGGTGAGTGAGGTATAATCACCGATACGTTTTAATTGTACCTCTAAAACTATCTGTCTTCTAAGCGTTTGAAATACGGAGACATAACACAAATGATTAACGCCAACAGATCAACGGATCTAACCTGAATAATATGCTAAATCAGCGAAGGTAGGATTACGATATGTACATTCACACATTACCCTCGCCTCCGAGAACAACGCGTCCACCCGTATAGAAATAAAACAACTCTGATACTGAACTCTCCAAGATGTTATGACATCAATCAAAAATATACAATATGATTCGACACAGAACTTTGTCATTGTCCCTGAATGAACGATCCAAGTCCTATTCTTCCATTCTTCTCTCTTGCCTACTGGCTCCTCGAACAACAGGGACACACATTGAGAACTTCATCAAACTCGACGATCTCAATGGACTTCTCCCCCTCGGGGTATCTCGTCGTTTTGGTAACGTTACGCCTCGACTGCACAGGGAGGGTTTGTAACTATCATAACATTAAGACCTAGAATGCCATCTGTGGTGAGTTTCGCAACAACCGCTTCTACCAGTATGTTTGTGTCGTCATCCAATCTGATGTTAAACATCCATTGTCCGAGGATTGATAATTTGTCTCCACTTGCTGTTAAGACCTCTTTAATTATCGGCTTTAACTCGGGTCTAGCCGCCTGAGAAATGTGGTTATACAGATTTTCAGATATCAAAGTTATGGTTGCACCTGTATCGACCAACAACTTTGCCTTGGCACGATGCATGTCAGTCTTAACATACATACCAGTTTCATGAGCAGCTGATGAGACTCCTACATTAGCCTTATGTTCAGTCTGTTTCCGTCTTCTCCGAGTTCTAACTCGCTTCGCCACTGGCTTATCTGCTCCATTTTCAGTGGTTACCTGATTTTCCAATTTCGGGCAATTCCTGCGAAATGACCCTCCTCATTACAATAGTAGCAAGTTTTTCGACTAGCCTTTATTTTGTCTTTGCTGACTTGAACTCTTATTGCTTTCTTTCAGCTTCACAACATCATCTTGTAAGGACTGTAGTTGCTGTTGTGTGTCTTTTAATAAACTAGACATAGAGTTCTGAATAGCTTTCTCTGTAGTCACACTTGCCTTCTCTGTCGTAGGGCTGTCCTCTGTGTTTGTGGCTCTCAGATGAGCTTTACCATCACTCCATTTCTTTTCAGCTCGATTGTAGGCCTCCAGTTCCACAGCTAACCGTATAGTATTTGTAAGATTTTGAGGTCTTCCTTGTTTTATCCTGATTCTCATGTCTGAATCAGCTAGAGACTCAATGAATTGCTGCTTAGCCAAGGTATCACGCACATCACTGGGCACGGTCGGGTATGCCAGGTTAACTAGCCGTCTAATGGCTTGTCCCAACTCTGGCAGACTTTCTGCTGCTTTCTGTCGCCTCTCTGAGAGTTGAACCCGGTATAACTCTGTTTGGTTAGGATGAGAAAAACGTTCTTCTAACGCGATGACCAGGGACTTTTAATCTTCTGACTTTGATATGGCAGGTCCCCAAGGATGCATTGTGCTTGACCGCTGAGTACAACAGCCAAATATAGGCCCTTCTCATAATCCGACTAGTTGTTGATGCGGGAACAAGTCTCAAAATGAGATTTGTAGTCAACCCATGGGGTGGAACCATCAAATGCTGCAGCCTTCACATGTCTGACCTTCTTTGGAGTGTTGCGTGGTTTTCTGGTATACTATTGTTCCTCATCGTCCTCACTACAGCTGTCATGCTCATATACTGGCCTCCTGTGAAGTCTCTGAGAATTCATGCGTGTCACCCAATCATGACTAACTCCATCAATGTCACCAATATAGTTAGGGAGCTGCTCTGTTCTCGAACGGGCTCTCTCTCTGGGGTGGTCCAATTTCCTATCAGTATATGGCCTTGTAATCGGAGACGGTTTTAGAATACCTTCACTCTTTGTCTGCAACCTAGACAACTCAGCCCTCATTTGTCTGATTTCATCCTCAACCTTATCAACATCCATATCTTAGGATAGCCTGGGAACATCTATGAGCTGTGTATATTCCCCTCTAGTTCTATCACTCGATGCAATACCAGAGTCCCTAGGTCTACGAGGTGTAGATTTTGAAGGTGTTACAGAGCCTTTTCTGGCTAACAGTTTCCTCGCCATCCTTTAATGGACTGAGAACATCATCCTCTTAATAGCTAGCCATCTTCACAAACCAATACAAATAACTATAAGGTATGACTAGAAAAACAGTACAGGTTTATTCTAATTAACATAAATTATAATGCAGAAACCTAATCACAGGGATCCCAAACGCTGCCACCAAAAGTATGTAACGTTCCGGGGTCCGTACCCTAGTCACCTCTAAGGATCCCTGTGTTGTAGGCTTAACTATAACTATACTACAGTTTCAATAATATACAAATATGTGTAACTACCTTGTAACCAGCATACCTAATGCTTAATACATGATATGAACAGAATAATTACTGTTCGACTATAAAACTATAGCCAACGCTATCTGCTCTGTATCAATATTACAACACCCTCCACACACTACCGTTCAAACCAGGCAGTACACAACTCGACGATCACGTCGCAGCTAGCCCTAGGCCTAGTCACTTTAGTTGCCCTATAGTCGCTACCTACATGACCTAGTCGCGCCGAGCAAGACAGCCTTATACGTACTACTGTACAACTACGCAGTCTAATAATCGTGACTACCCCTAGTCACGACTAGCTCTATCAACTTATACCTAGTCGCGACTACCCTAGTCACGACTACCCTAGTCACGACTAGCACTGTATAGCCTATGCCTGTGACACCTTCTGTCTAACAGTATCTCGCTACAGCACTCAATCGTTTATTTAATATATCTTCCAGGCAGTGTGTGGATCAAGGCAAGACTTACTCAGTCACTTCTATCTTTGCAACACAAAGCCGGTCTCACATATATTACTTACGATTTACACTGCTGTCTACATGCCGAGATCAGAACAGAACTGGGCCGATTGTTGCTGGATTCTGCCTATTTATACCCTCTTGCTATCTTAGCGACACCTAGCGTAAGTGAGGTATAATCACCGATACGTTTTAATTGTACCTCTAAAACTATCTGTCTTCTAAGCGTTTGAAATAAGGAGACATAACACAAATGATTAACGCCAACAGATCAACGTATCTAACCTCAATAATATGCTAAATCAGCGAAGGTAGCTACTAAGTTTCAAAGAGATTCGTTGAAAAATGTAGGAGGAGAATGCCGGACAAAAATCAAATACTGAAATGAACAGAGGGCAATAACTTTTATACAAATTGTCGAATCGGAATTCTTGTTGGGGGAAAAACAACTTCATATCATGATTATAATGTGTACAAAGTTTTAAAGAGATCGGTCGAAAAATGTAGGATGAGATTGCCGGACAAACAAAAGTTTACGCCGGATGGACGGACGGACGGACGGACAACGCCATAACATAATACTCCCGTCAAATTTGACGGGGGTATAATAATGATATAACACTTCAGGGTGAGTGATGATATAACACGTCAGGGTGAGTGAAACCGGTGGGGGACTAATTAAAAGCCGATAGGCCCTGATTCGACCAGATCCGCCGCTCTGTGGCAGTCAACGTAAAAGTCAGCTTAGCCCTGTGGTAGTATAAGGGTTATAATTGTTACATCAATTAAATGGTTGCGCATAATACATCAGAAATTAAAAAAATACAGAATCTCAATGCCTTTCCCTGTTACACAGATATTCATGGGACGCAACTATATAGCGGACGTTCATTAGAACAGAACAACAGCACGACAGAGAAAATGATGACGACATGATACATATGACGGCACAATACAATATACCAAAAATGACGCCAAAATTAACAAATCACTTTTACGTCCACGTTCGTGGAAAACAAAGTTGCTGTTACAACAAAAGATATTTCGTTACAGGAATGAGTACAGTAACAAACTTTTCGAATGCATTTGCATGATCTATTCTCGCCTCGGTCTGTCCTGTTAGAACAATATATACGATATCAGGAGATATGTTGGTCATATGACTTTGATACACTTGACTATCAAATTTCAATTTGATATTTGAAAATTTGACCGAGATATGATAAATTGAATTTTCACAATCGGCGGCGTGGCACATGTGTGTATTTACGTACCTGTACAGTTAACAAAGCGTCACCAGACAAAATTGTATAGAACTCTACAGATCAAAAAGCGTCTTTAGACTGTATCTCTAAAATAATCTATAAAGTAACCAAAAACAGATGATATGATATTCACATGACCATAACACAACTTTATTCAAAGTTTCAGGTCCCCTTCAAGTTCAATATTTATTACTACGGAAAACAAGGGTACTTATTAACTGGAGTTATCATGCTTATTGACACCAAGGTATGACATCCTCTTACCTTTGGACCAGTTCATTAGCGTACTATAGGTACAAGGAATAGATAGGGATATGCTCAATACATCTTGTCTCTGAAGCCCAGCCATTTTGGATTGACGTAAAGGAAGGTGAAAGAATAAGAAATAACAGTTTTTCAAACGTAACAACAATTTACCTACCTGCCACGTTAAGTGTGTAGTCAGGACTGGCTACAACAGCGACAGGTAGACTTGGGTTGTTACGACGACAAACCCACACAGATCCATGGTCTCCTGTCTGTGGCTGTATGACCCACTGGAACACTGTACCATAGAGAGTCTAGGTGGTAGTACAGAAACAGCTATCCGGGCTACAGAGGACAGGAGTAGTAGTGGTGTTGTAACACTGACCACCAGCTATTTGTATTCTACCTAGTATAGCAGTCACGTCAGGACGGCGGTACAACTGGACACTGTTTCCCTCATCTGGTACGTCACACGTCAGTGTAAACTCACTCCCGAGGACAGCGTACTCAGACGACCCGTTCAATGTGACAGCATCTGTAATACAAGGAAGTTTATAGTGCAAAAAGGGACATAATACAGACAAGCTTTACTTAAGAGTTAAAACGATCAATCGCATCTTGAGTATCTTATCGAATTAGTTTGGTTGCCTGTATCGCGATGCACTAGCATTACTGAAATTGCTGAAATCTAAAACAATGTACTTGTTGTTTTGAAAGCCTTAAGTACAAATGTGGTCCACTACTTAGTAATACCAAAAAGTACTGAACGTCATATACAAATATTTTTTCGTGATGTTTATTATTCAAGACTATGGCAATACCCTGTAAAAACCTGCACTCAATCATTATGAAGTTGACTTTCTAAGCAGAAATGTGTATTGTAATATGTATCGTATCGTGAGGTACATGTACGTAACTTTTCAGTCATCATGTACCTATCCGTTAAACTGTAGAATGTTATCATTACATAGATATCTTTACATCAAGCGGTTTACTATATGAGGTCAATGATCTTTATAATACTGATTATTTGCATATATATGTTAAGGAGTTATTTAAATTTTCGGTTCGCCTTTCTTTGATGAGGTAAGTTGGTCACACGTGTCTTTGTTATGGTATAACATCGCTGTGTTATCTGTTTTATTGTATATTATTAATATTACCCCTATAAACTGTGTTAGATAAACAAATATTGATTATTAGTTCAAGATTCGCTTATCCCGTTATTCCTACCTAACTAATAGGTCCATATAGCACTGTCGGCTTCCCTTTTACCCGCGCTAACCTTGTAGGGTTTTACGCCGAATGAGCGAGAGGACCTATTTTATGGGTCGTATTATACAGTTTATAGTGGTAAAACAGTTCTGTCCTAATTTATATCCATCGTTTAAGCTAAAATCGGCGTGCCTCTGCAAATTGTACATCGCCCCCCCCC